GCAAAAAAAATTTCACTTCAAAATGAGCATAGAGCCGATGAATATAGCTATTTAGATCATAGAGCAGAACTAAATTATGCTTTGAAAATTTTTTATAGAGTTGATATGCCGTATGAAAGACTCTGAGGGAACAATATTTTCCAGTCTTGATCTTTTTAAGGTTAAACAGAAATCGAAAAATCAAAATGATCCACCGAACAAAACTTAAGCCCGACGTCAGTTGTACTTTTTTGGGGTCTCGCAAGTTTTTTTTCATTCAGTTTAGAGCATAGAGTAGATGGTTATAGCAATTTAGAGCAGAGGGCAGAAAAAACAATTCTTTTAAAAATTTTAGAGACGATATACCGTATGAAAGTCTCTGCGCGAAATATTTATTCCAGTCTTGATCTTTTTAAGGGTAAACAGAAATCAGAAAATCAGATTAATCCACAGAAAAAAAATTAAGCCCGGCTTCAGTTATACCTTTTTTGCAGTCTCGCCTTTTTCCTTTCAAATTAGAGAATAGATCATATAAATAGACTATTTTAGAGCTTAGAGTAGAATTAAATTAAGCTTTATAAGATTTTGACAGAGGTAATAAGCCGTATGAAAGACTCTGCACGAACGGTTTATACAAGTTTTGTTCTTTTTTGACTTGAACGGAAACCAGAAAATAAGATTGATTCAATGCACAAATATCAATACCGGGTGTGTTTTTTACTTTCTTTTCACGGTCTCGCAAAAGTTTTTTTTCATTCGAACTTGATCATAGAGCAGATAAATAAAGCCATTTAGAGCATAAAATAGATATAAATCTTGTTTTAAAAATTTTGTAGAACTAATATAACGCATGAAAGATTCTGCGCAAACATTTTATTCCAATCCTGATCTTTTTCAAGTTAAACAGAAATCGAAAGCTTAGATTGAGCCACTGAACAAAACTGAAGTCCGGAATCGGGTGTACCTTTTTCCTTTTCGTGTCTCGGAGATTTTTTTTTCAATTTAGAGCATGGATCAGATGAATAGAGCAAGTTAGAGCATGAAGCAGAGTTAAAACTGGCTTTACAAACCTAATAGAGTTGCTATACTATAAAAAAGACTCCGCGAGCATTTTACTCTAATCTTGGTCTTTTTAAGGTTAAATAGAAATTGGAAAATCAGATTGATCCACAGAAAAAAAACTTAAGCCCGGCTTCAGTTATATCTTTTTTCCAGTCTCGCCTTTTTCCTTTCAAATTAGAGCATAGATCAAATAAATATACTAATTTAGAGCTTAGAGTAGAAATAAATTATGCTTTAGAAGAATTTGACAGAGGTAATATGCCGTATGAAAGACTGGACGAACTGTTTTGTTCGAGTTTTGTTCTTTTTTGAGTTGAACGGATACCAAAAAATAAGATTGATTCAATGCACAAATATCAATACCGGGTGTATTTTTTAATCTTTTTTACGATCTCGCAATTTTTTTTTTCATTCGAACTTGAGCATAGAGCAGATGGATAGAAGAATTTAGAGCATAAAATAGATATAAATCTTGCTTTGAAAACTTTGTAGAAATAATATACCGCATGAAAGACTGCGCAAACATTTTATTCCAATCCTGGGCTTTTTCAGGTTAAACAGAAATCGAAAGCATAGATTGAACCACTGAACAAAACTGAAGAACGGAATCGGGTGAACCTTTTTCTCTTCCGTGTCTCGGAGAAATTTTTTCATTCAATCTAGAGCATGGATCAGATGAATAGAGCAAGTTAGAGCATGAAGCAGAGTTAAAACTTGCTTTACAAACCTAATAGAGTTGCTATACCATAAAAAAGACTCCGCGAGCATTTTATTCCAGTCTTGGTCTTTTTAAGATTTAATAGAAATGGAAAAATCAAGTTGATCCACAGAAAAAAAGCCCGGCTTCAGTTATACCTCTTTTTCGGGTCTAGAGAATTTTTTAGAGCATAGAGCAAAATGGAGCATAGAGCAGAACTAAATTAAACTTTAAAATCTTTGTAGAATTGATATACTGTATGAAAGACTCTACGCCAACATTTTGTTCAAGTCCTGGTCTTTTTCAGGTTAAACAGAAATCAAAAACTCAGATTGGACCACTAATCAAACCTGAAGCCCGGCTTCGGGTCAACCTTTTTCATTTTTGAAACTCTTGTTGCTCCATAATCTTAGTCCGTCTGCTCTATGCATTTAAGTGAATGAAAAAGAATTTGTTTTTGAGAGTTCGTTTTCATTCACTTAAGAGTATAGAGCAGATGGAAAGAGCAGTTTAGAGCATAGATCAGAATTAAAATTTTATTTAAAATTTTATAGTGTTGATATGCCGTATGAAAGACCTTGCACGAATATTTTATTCCAGTCCTCGTCTGTTTCAGGTTAAACAGAAATCGAAAGATCAAATTGAGCCACTGAACAAAACTGGAGCCCTGCTTCGGTTGTACCTTTCTCATTTTCGAGTCTCGCGAGTATTTTTTATTAATTTTAAAGCGTAGAGCGTAGAGGTGATTTACCGCTTGAAAAACTCTGCGCGAACAGTTTTTTCAGGTCTTTGTCTTTTTAATGTTAAACAGGGATCGGGAACTCAAATTGAACCACCGCAAGTGCAGGCCCAGCTTTGTTTGTACCTTTTTTTCGGGTCTGCAAATATTTTTTTATCTAATTCAATTTAGAGCATAGACCATATGGATGGAGCAAAGTAGAGCATAGAGCAGAATAAACTCAAGTTAAAAAACTTTTTGTAGAGTTGATATGCTGTATGAAATACTCTGCGCAAGCATTTCATTCCAGTCCTGGTCTTTTTCAGGTTAAACAGAAATTGAAAGTTCAAATTGAATAACTGAACAAAACTGGAGCCCTGCTTCGGTTGCACCTTTTTCCTTTTCGAGTCTCGCGAGTTTTTTTATTCATTTTAAAGCATAGATCAGGTCGATAGAGCAGTTTAGACATAGAGCGGTATTAATTTATGCTTTCAAAAATTTATCGAGGTGATATTTTATATGAAAGACTCTGCGCGAACAGTTTTTCCAGTCTTGGTCTTTTTCAGGTTAAACATAAATCGAAAGTTCAAATTGTTTGAACCACTGAACAAAACTGGAGCCCTGCTTCGGTTGTACGTTTTTTTCTTTTCGAGTCTCGCGAGTTTTTTTTGTTCATGTTAAAGCTTAAAGCAGATGGATAGAGCAATTTAAAGCATACCGCAGAGTTAAATTAAGATTCAAAACTTCTTAAAGAGTTGATAAAACGTATGAAGCAGATGAAGCAGATGGAGTAGATGGATAGGGCAAATTAGAGCATAGAGCAGAATTGAATTACGATTTAAAAACTTTACAGATGTGATATGCCATTTGAAAGACTCTGTGCAAACATTTCAATCCAGTCTGGGTCTTTTAAGGTTAAATAGAAATCGGAAGTTCAAAATGATTCACTAAACACAGCTCAACCCGCGCTCCCGATATATTTCTTAATTTTTTCCGGATTCGTAATTTTTTCTCTCAAATTTTTTATTGAGTTGATATGCCGTTTTGAAGACTCTGCGCGAAGATTTTATACAAGTCTTAGTCATGTTAAAAAAAACGATGACATTTGATGATCATAGAGCAGATGGATAGAACAACTTAGCGCATAAAGCAGAGTTAAATTATTGTTTAAAAAGTTTATGCAGTAGATATACCGTATTAAATTTTCTGCACGAACATTTTAATCCAGTCTTGGTCTTTTTAATGTGAAACAAAGATTGGAAGTTCAAATTGATCCAATGAACACAATTCAAGCCCGACTACGGGTGTACCTTTTTTCCAGTCTCGCGAATTTGGTTTTTCGTTTATTTACGAGCATAGAGCAGATGGAGAAACGACTCACTTTGTGCGGTAACAAAAGCTTACACAATTTTGTTTTTAAATACTTAGAAAATTAATTAAGTATTTGTTATTTTGGGTTTCTTATTCCGTTTGCAACGAAATGGCTGACTGAAATTAAGCAGATTTAGCGCTGTTCTTATAACAATAACAGTTCTTGGCCCATTCCGTGGATAAGAAAGTTTTTTCCATTTCGAAAAAAATAGTGTATTTCCGACCGGATAGGTCGTTTGGTCAAATTTGTTGGGCAACTCCTTAGTCCACGGTTTAATCCTTCTCCAACCCTTTATTTTTGGCTCAACATATTTAGGAAACATTGGTAGGAAACACTGGAGTTAAGATTCATATAAAAATAATGCAATCAGTCAAAAAAGTGATCTGACTAAATAAGCTTACCAGATCAGTTTACCAGATTTATTTAGGGTTTAGTAATGAGTCATGAAGGTGTAGTGTGAAAAATCTTCCAACTTCATATTCCACTTACCCGCCAAAAAAAACCTATTATATATGGGATTATCGAGCAAATATGATAGAACAACAACATCTTTCGGGTTCATCAAGAAGTTAAGAAGACTCTTTCATCATTAAAATGACTTCAGTTGCATAGAATTAATTTTTTCTGAATTTACTAAATTTTTATTTTTATCTAACGCAAGATCTAATCAAATGATCCTGAAAAACTCGTTTTACTCGATAATGCTTTTGTGAGATGAATGCATTTATATCAAATTACAAAAACTCTGATATAGTTTTCTGCAAACAACTTTGTTTTTGAAAGAAAATTTCCCAGAAAAAATTTTCTAGAATTTAACCAGGTTAAGCATTATTTAGTTCTCATACCTTAGCTTGCAAGGATGAGTAAAGTTTTCGCCTTTTATCGCTATATGTTATTGTCGTTTTTTTAAATAACAAACTGCCAATTGAAATTAATTGATGACATTTGAATTGCACTGCACATAAATGACTTACTATGTTACTGCGCACTTAATTGTTTTTGGTCAAATTTTTGAATTGTTTAAATTTTTTTCTCTTTCTTTGACTTCTTTTCATTCAGTGTTAACTTAATTATGCATGAGGTTGTTTTTTTTCAGACTTGTATCATTTATCTAGAAAAAAATTCCGAAAATTTTTGATTTTGTACTTCATCATTATAATTGTTTGTTTCAGGGTGCTATTGGAAAGACATTCTCTACTGCAGCGGCATGGTCCAGAAAAAAAGTGAGTCGAATTTCCATTTTGAAGATTTAAAAAAAAACAACTGCTTTTTTCAAATTTTTGTCTCGTTTTGCAAAAACATTTTGATGACCATGTTAAGATCATCGAAACGACCAAAAAGTTAACATCTATCAAATAATACGAACTTGAATCATACATTCAAACAAAACTGCTCGGATCAGACGAAGCCCTGAATATTCCGACTGCCTTTTAAGATCTATGGAGCAGTAATAACCTAAAAAAAAATAAATGTAACAAAAAAAATGAAATTTTTTTCTTCTAAAATTTGAAATTTCTAACAAAAATCATCCCCCCACACGCCATATAACGAACAAAAGGATAAATTTCGCCTTTTGTATTAAATCAATTATGTCAAATAAGCTTCTTTCAACCAATTTGGAATTATTTTTAAAACGGACTAACTCTCCGCTTACGCGTTAATAGCGCGAAATATATCGCGCGTTCATTGTCCCAAATTGGCCAAAATGGCATCTTTAAACCCCATAAAGTTACAAAAATTGTCTCAGGTGAAATATTTTTTCAAATGTAAGCTCAGGGCATTAACACCTTTTGAATGATAGTTAAACAATCCGTCAAAAATGGCTAGTTAAAAAGTCGAAATTTGTCTGAAGAAAAAAAAACCCACCCCGAGCACAAATATTCCGTTACTTTAGTATCGAAAGTCGGAACAATAAACTCAATTGATATACTTTGAATGATTATTACGAATGATTTTTTTAGTGAAAAAATTCTATAAATTATAAAGCGTCTCATTCTAAATCTCTCTTCACATGTTCCGAGTTTCAAAGAAAGTGCGAAATAATTTTTCAACTGTGAATTTTGTAAAACTGTGTTCACTTCAGCTGGTGGATAATATTGTCTCAAGCTCAAATTAAAGTTGTGGGATTTTGAAGATTGCCAATTAGCCAACTTAGGATAATTAACGCGCGATATATTTCGTGCTAACAACGCGTGAGCCAAGTTTAAAACCATCTCAGTAATTGTTCCAACTTGAATTGATGAATGCTGTTTAGCCTATTTCAATTCGAAATGTATCAGTTTGTATTTAACATAGCGCGAGGGGGATGGCTTTTGAAAAAAAAATTTTTTTTGAAAATTTCGTCAGTTTTTTCTAAAAGTGATCAACATTCCATAAGGGTTGAAAGGCAGCTAAAAAAATTCAGGGTTTTGTCTTGATACGAGCAGCCTTCTTTTATTTTTGTTGGTACCTCAAAAACTGAACCGACAAATCCATGTTCAAATACAATGATCAATAAGCCAAGTCACTAAACTGGAGAAGTCTTTTTTAATATTCAAAATGAGTTTCACAAAAGTTTTCCCTTAATAAAGTGAAGAAACTTTTATATTCAAATGAGCCGACTTATATTCAAATGAGCGTTTTGCTTTTATCTGTTCGCGTTCTGAGTCAATAACTATAATAAAACAATACAATAAAACAAGAGATGGCTCGGTATCCGAAACTTTACAAGAAATAATATCGTGCAATTTATTTTGCAAAATTCAGTCCAATATTTTACACGAAAATGGGTCATTCAACAGCTTTTGTAGACAAACAAGAACTACAATACAACTACTCAATTGCTGAAAAAAACCAAAAGAAGATGAGACTCTCATATAGCCTAACAAAGTTTAAAACGGTATAATCTTTTGGGTTTTGATAAAAACATTTTTACTATAAAAATACTAAAGTTTTTAAATTTTGATATAAATGTCACTCTTACTATAAAAACATTACTATAAAGCGGTTTTCAAACGTTTAGCACAGAATTTTGGAGATTATAGCTTTTTATACATAGTTGGGCTACATAACAAGATCGCTATAATTTCTTTTTGTTATCAATTGACCAAATAGTTGTGGCGCAAAAATTGATTGCCTTATAAAACCACAAAAAAACAACAATTTTTGCCTAAAAGTTTGAAATCCTGTTTTATAAAAAAAAGTTGAATGATATTATTTAATTTCTTTGTTTTTCCCTCTTGCAAAATCAGGTTTCACAAATCATCGAGTGATGGATTTGAGTAAACAATCATTCTCAAGTCTTCTCAATCTTGATTCGATTTGCAATGAAAAGTGCTGAACTAGCTAATAGCCTACTACATTTTTAACATCACTTTTCCAAGATATCAGCTCATCGCTTTCTCCATGCCGAACTTTTCAAAAAAATCTTTAGAAAAGTAACCCGAGATTTCCACAACTGATCTGCAGTGAAATAGTTAAAATTGGTAAAACATCGGACCATGAAATTACAATTTTACAATTGCACAAAATTTTGGGATGTCAGTGCATCAACATGTCACTGATCGGAATAACCTGGGCAACGTGCACTGCAACAGCTATTCCTATATTTTTAATTTGAACTTTCGTTTCAGGCGAATAATTCCACAGTTGCAGAATATCATCCACTCAAGATCATCAAGTCGGCTTTTAAACTGAACCAGGAAGATAAATATTTGCAGTTGAGAAGCAGCTATCGAACCTGTTTGCTCATCTAATTGTTGATTCTCAATTGATGCAACCAAAAATCAGCCAAGTTATCAATTGGGATCAATTTCTTTAAAATGAACGAAAAAAATGAAAGACACCACAATCTTTAATTCAGCATTGCCTCCTCATGATTTTTAACATTGCTGTATTGAGCTTGAGTCATACCATATATGTTGCAACGTATGATTTGCATGATGAATTTTTTTCATATCTTACCAACAGCTTGCATAACGATGAGAAATTGTTTTTACACAAATTTAGTCCGCCAAAAAGCTATTTTGAGGGTTTTCGAAACAAATGTATGTGCTAACCATGATTTGTCATTTTCCATACAAATCATGCATGTATGTGTATCGTTGCGCATTATCTTCTGTGATGGGCGACCCGGGATTCTAAAAAGTGAGCTATTGACCAAACATAGTAGAAGCTGCAACAAAACTAATTTTCTATCCAGAGCGGATTTCTTCACAAAACTAAATTTCGCAAACACTAGCGAGAACACGACAAAAAGCAGCTCTATAGTTCTAAAAAGACAAAAAAAATTTAAAAAAATAAGCCTCGAATTAGTAAAACCTCTGCGACGTCTCGGACTTTAATCTACGACCTACTGCGACCTAGAAAATATGAGTCTCACACGCTAACCACTCAGCCACGGACGCTTAAAAAATCACAAACACTAGCTACAGAAAAGCCCGAGAGCAGATTCTAAGACAATTCCAATGCTATAGATTGTGATTATAGCAAACAGGTCCACAAGTGAACACTTTTAATGAACACTTTTATTTGCGGGTTAGGTTAGAAAAAAAGGCACGCGTAAAGCAATAGCGTAAACAAAATTTTGTATAACAGGGCTAAAATAAATTTTGTATTTCATTGCAACCCAAGGGTTCTGACGGCGCCAAAACTAAGCATCAAATTGCAAGTAAACAGATGAAAAGACTAGAAGAAAATTATTTGGTCAAGAGAATGTTTTAAGACCACATTTTAGGGATTCTATCCCCTCACAAACCAAAGGGTCCCCTCTTTGTTATTATTTTATGCTATCCATTTTCGGCTGACCAACCTAAAAACTTCTAAACAATATATAAAAAATGAAGGGTAGCGCGCGCCAAAAAAAAACGCAATATTTTGGTCAAATTTTTCCAAAAAGAGTCCAAACATTTTTTGACTTTATTTAAAACATTTGCCTGCGGCGCAGAACATCACAATTTGGCTCAGCAGCAAAAATTAGACAAATTAATTTCATATGTTTGGGGTCTTATGCCCAAAACGGACCATAATCAAAATTTTCATATCTTGAGTAGAACTTGTGCTGTTAAATCTGGTTGGCTGAAATTAGCCATTCAAAATCAAGCGACATGTTTAGGCAGTTCAATCAAAACAACTAGCAGATAAAATAATTAGCCGAAATTACCAAAATGTGAAACTTTGTCTAAAATAATTTTCTTTCAAACAACTTGGGAAATTTTGCCCCGACGAGAAAATTATGTAAAATGGCTTCAACAGAATAAACAAATTTTGGCCCACAATTTCATCTACTTGAATTTTCTAATGAAAAAAAAAACTGTACCATGTTATTTGAATTTGAGTGTCTGATTAGCCAACTTTGAGTTCTACTTTGAGTTCAAGATAAATGTAGAAAAACCGGTTTTTGATTTAAAAATTTTCTGAAAAATTATTATCTGAACTGGTCGATGAGAGGCAGACCCTTTGTCTCTTTGCCTAATTATTGTAGTTAAAAATCAACAAGTACAGTGAAAAAAACTCTTAATTAAACTTTTTCAAAAACTAATTTTCAGCTATGAAAAACTGTTTTTTAAAGCTTCTTTGACCTAACAGGTATAAAAAACGTAACGGCTGCAAAATTTTTATTAATAGAGAAGGTTGTTGATAATATTCAATTTTAGTTTTTCTATTTTAATATTAATTCAATTATAAACCTATGTTAAAAATCGAAAAATGTTTGGAAAAATCAAAAAATGGATTTACCGAAAATCAAAAAACAAAAAATCAAAAAATAGAATCAACCCGTTTTGTTACGTTCTTCATCTTAAATAATTGTAATTGGAACATTCTGGGTTAATTGAACAGCAACAGGGCAAATCAAGTTGAAGTGAAATCAGCAATCAGAGACAAATTTTGATGAAAAAGTTTCTTTGAACTAAAGCTTGTTGAAACCAAACAGAAAACAATACATATGCGGAGAAATCAAAATGAAAAAGCAAAAACTTGATATATCACGCAAGTATCACCTAGAATTTTTGATGTCGAGAAAAATCACAAAGATTTTTTTTGTCAGCTATAAGTCAAAGAACTGAAAATAAACATTTATTCTGGCGCTTGTAATCGTTTTTCTGGGAGTGATTTCAGTTTTTTTTTGAAGACTGATTATTTTGATCTGAAAAAAGACAAAACATTTTGGCTCGTATTATTTTTTGTTCGTCAATGATCTGATAGGATAAACGCATTCAAGTTGCCAAAAATAAATTGTAATAAAATCTTTTTTGGTTTTGCTCTCAAATATGAAAGTTCCTGGTTTGAATTACAGAGAATATCAAATTATTCAGGGGCGGATCTAGGACTTTCTCGAGGGGGATCGGATTTTCAAAAAAAAATTGACGACCTTTTTTTTAGATCGACCTTATTGATTTTTCGAGCTCTCCCAAAGCACTTTTTTGCCCCTATTTTGGCTAATTTTTCTACGCCGCAGGCAAATTTTTGAAAAAACATTCAAAAAAGCCGTTTTTGGGCACTTTTTGAAAAATGTTGACAAAAAAATCGCGTTTTTTTTGGCGCGCGCTCCCCCTCAAAGTTAGTATATATTGGCGCCAAAGGCGCCTTTAGAAAAATTTTAGGGTCGGTCAGCCAAAAACGGATTTCTGAAAAAGTATCAAAGGGGGGACCCTTTGGGTCGGCAGGGGGTGGAATCCCTGAGGGGGGGGCCTAAATCCGCCCCTGAAATTATTCATGATTTTCATATCCCTCAAAAAAGTTTTTTTGGGTTCAATTGGCTAGCTTAGGGTAAAAATTGTTCACATGGGCCATTATTTGTCTCAACACATCTCAATCGTCTACATCAACATAACAAATAAACAAATCGCAGAGGAGCTATCAGTAGGCCTCAACAGCCATGTCAAAGCCAGTCCAATTGTATTATCCCTCCTCATTCCAGACTCATCAAAAACGGTAGCATGAGAAAAGTTTTATAGAGAAGTGCCATGTTGACCAGTTTTTTCACGGTTACAGCTTCTTGCAGTGTGTGTGAGACAAATGATGACCCATCCATTCTAATTAGGTAACGTATGAACTCAGGGTGGACGGGTCAAAATTCATCTCACACATATAACACAGGGATATAGCTAAAAAACAAATTGGATCCGTGCTTTCATGGAGATAGAGCATTGAGACGTGTTGAGCAAAATTTGGCCCATATGAACAATTTATCACTAATTTAGCCAGGTGAGTTGAAGGAAACTTTTTGAGGGTCATTTCATCTGTCATTTTTATTCTTTGTGAGGAGCCCAGGCCATCCTTAATTTGAGAGCAAAAAAAGTGATTTCAGGTTAAACATTTCAAAAACATAAATATATCCCGACAAAATGATGAACAATCCATCTTAAATTAGCCATTTTTATTAATCATCGTGATTGCCTCCAAGATGTATTCTGACATTCACGTATAGCTAATTTAGAATGAATGGGCCATCTTTTGACTGATACACAAAGCAATGGGCTGATATGTCAAACAAAAGGTTAACTTGGCATCACTTTCTATGTTTTGTCACTGAAATTTCTCTCAGGTGAATCAGTTTTTTTGGTATGTTGATGGACCGTTGAGATGTGTTGAGACAAATGTCGGCCCATATGAACAGTTTATTACTAATTTAGCCAAGTGAGTTGTAGAAAAATTTCTTGAATGTACTCATTATGAGCAATTAAATTTAAAACATCCTAAGACATCCTAACCACCATAAAAGAATTTACTTTCCTTTAGTAACACAACTTGAATTGCTCAATTTTGTGATGAGAATAACCAAACTACAATTGCAAAAATTCCAAGAGTTTATCAGTTTTATAATACAAACAAGACTGCTCGTATCAGGGCAAACCCCTGAAAGATCCAAATGGCTTTTAACGTTTATGGAGCAGTAATAACATAAACAACACAAAAAAATTAAATGAAATAAAATAAATGAAATACTTTTTCTAAAATTTGAAAATTTTTTGATGAAAATCCCCCCACACGCCATATAAAGTACAAAACAATAGATTTCGCTCATTGTAACAAATCAATTATGGCAAAACAGCTTCTTTCAACCAATTTGGAACGATTTTTAAGACGGATTAAATCCCCGCTTACGCGTTAATAGCTCGAACTATATCGCGCGTTAATTGTCCCAAATTGGTCAAAATGGCCAAAATGACAACATTTAAACCCTCATAACTTTACGAAAAATGAGCTCAGGTAAAATATCTTTTCAAATTTGAGCTCAGGACAACAATAGCTTTTGAATGATATAAAAATATTCCGTCAAAAATGGCTAGTTAAAAAGTCGAAGTTTGTCTGAAGAAAAAAAAACCCACCCCGAGCACAAATATTCCGTTAGTTTCGTATCGAAAGTCGGAACAAAAAACAATCATCTTTAAAATCTATGTAATCTCAAAAAAAGGAAACCAGAAAAATCATTGTTTTTTTTCTGAAATACTTAACGAAAAAAAAACGGAATATTTGTGCTCGGGTGGTTTTTTTTCTTGAGACAAATTTCGACTTTTTAACTAGCCTTTTTCGACAAATATTTTTTTTGATATCAATCAAAAGGCATTGTTGCCCTGCGCTTAAAATTGAAAAATTATTTCACCTGCGATCAGTTTTTGTAAAAAAATATTGGAGTTCAAAAACTGCCATTTCGGCCAATTTGTGAAAATTATCACGCGATAAATTTCGCGCTATTAACGCGTAAGCGGAGATTAAGTTCGTCTTAGAAATTGTTCCAAACTTGGCGAAAGAAGTTTATTTGCCATAACTGAACTGTTACTAGGAGCTAAATCTATCACTTTGTACATTATATGGCGTGTGGGAGTATGACTTTTACAAAAAATCTCAAAATTTTTATTTTTTTAAAAAGTTTCACTTTATTTTATTACATTTAATTTTTAAAAGTTTTTACTGCTCCATAAACCTTAAAAAGTAGTCGGAACATTCAGAACTTTGCCCTGATACGAGCAGCTTTGTTGTCATTGCTTCAGCACTAAAACCAAAACTCAAAAGTTGTTTGAATGGCGTCACCAGGGCGCTTAGAAAAATTAAGGCTAACTCAAAAAAAATGCGGGGGGCTACTTAAAAAAAATGATGCTTTTTTGGTTACCGTGTTGCACGCATTTTTTGTATGTTTTGTGCAGTCATCTCATACCTTTACGTGTTTTTCTGAAACATGGTCGTTTTTGCCGGTGTCTTGCTTGTCTGTCGATCTGACTTTGGTTGTGTCTGCTTGCATGCATTGGCAGTCGTGATTCGGCTGCGACACCAACTCCATTCCCTCGTGAACAGTTGCAGCCCCCTTTTGACGCGATATGTACGTCTGAAAAAGATGACAAAGTGTTCATTATAATAATACTAATAATAATAATCCTAAGAATAATCATCATAATTGTCATAATAATAATCATAATAATAATAATTATAATAATAATAACAATAATAAGCATAATAATATTAATAATAATATTAATAATAATCATAATAATAATAGTAATAATCATAATAATACTCATAATAATAATGATCATAATCATAATAATCATTATAAACATAATAATCATAATATTCATAATAATCATAATAATCATAATAATAATAACAAGACTACTCGTATCAGGGCAAAGCCCTGAATGTTCCAACTGCCTTTTAACGTTTATGGAGCAGTAATAACATATAAAAATTAAATGTAACAAGACTGCTCGTATCAGGGCGAAGCCCTGAATGTTCCGACTGCCTTTTAAGGTTTATGGAGCAGTAATAAAATTAAAAAATTAATTGAAATTTAAAAATGAAAAAAAATTTTCTAAAATTTTTTATAAAAACCATCCCCCCACACGCCATATACAGTACAAAGAATCTAATTTGCTCCTTGTAGCAAACCAATTATGACAAATAGGCTTCTTTCAACCAATTTGGAACGATTTCTAAGACTGATTAACTCTCCGCTTACGCGTTAATAGCGCGAAATATATCGCGCGTTAATTGTCCCAAATTGGCCAAAATGGCAATCTTTAAACCCCCGTAACTTTACGAAAAATGATCACAGGTGAAATATCTTTTCAAATTTGAGCTCAGGACAACAATACCTTTCGAATGATATAAACAAATTCCGTCAAAAATGGCTAGTTAAAAAGTCGAAATTTGTCTGAAGAAAAAAAAAAGCCCATCCGAGCACAAATATTCCGTTACTTTCGTACCGAAAGTCGGAACAACAAGACTGCTCGTATCAGGACGAAGCCCTGAATGCTCCGACTGACGTTTAAGGTTTATGGAGCAGCAGTTAAAACATAAAAGATTAAAGGAAAAAAAAACAAAATGAAATTTTTTTTTGTTTCTAAAATTTGAAATTTTTAAAGAAAATCACCCCCCCACACGCCATATCAAGTACAAAAAGATAGATTTCATTCCTGGTAACAATTCAATACTGGTAAATAAGCTTCGTTCAACCAATTTGGAACAATTTATAAGAAGGATCAAATCTCCGCTTACGCGTTAATAGCGCGAATTATATCGCGCGTTAATTGTCCCAAATTGGTCAAAATGGCCAAAATGGCAATCTTTAAACCCTCATAACCTAACGAAAAATGATCACAGGTTAAATATCTTTTCAATTTTGAGCTCAGGACAACAATGGCTTTCGACTTATATAAAAAAATTTCCGTCAAAAATGGCTAGTTAAAAAGTCGAAATTTGTCTGAAGAAAAAAAAACCCATCCGAGCACAAATATTCCGTTACTTTCGTACCGAAAGTCGGAACAACAAGACTGCTCGTATCAGGACGAAGCCCTGAATGTTCCGACTGACTTTTAAGGTTTATGGATCAGCAGTTAAAACATAAAAGATTAAAGGAAATAAAACAAAATGAAATTTTTTTTTCTTCTAAAATTTGAAATTTTTAAAGATAATCATCACCCCACACGCCATATAAAGTACAAAAAGATAGATTTCGTTCCTGGTAACAATTCAATAATGGTAAATAAGCTTCGTTCAACCAATTTGGAACAATTTATAAGAAGGATCAAATCTCCGCTTACGCGTTAATAGCGCGAATTATATCGCGCGTTAATTGTCCCAAATTGGTCAAAATGGCCAAAATGGCAATCTTTAAACCCTCATAACCTAACGAAAAATGATCACAGGTTAAATGTCTTTTCAAATTTGAGCTCAGGACAACAATGGCTTTCGAATTATATAAAAAATTTCCGTCAAAAATGGCTAGTTAAAAAGTCGAAATTTGTCTGAAGAAAAAAAAACCCACCCCGAGCCTAAATTTTGTTTACTTTCGTATCGAAAGTCGGAACAAAAAAAAAACAAAATCAAAAAATGTTTTTTCTAAAACTTGAATTTTTTCATGCAAATCATCCCCCCACACGCCATATAAAGTACAAAGTGATAAATTTAGCTCCTAAAAGCAAATCAATTATACAAGTTAGCTTCCTTCGACCAATTTGGAACGATTTCTAAGATGGATAAAATCTCCGCTTACACGTTAATAGCTCGAAATATATCGCGCGTTAATTGTCCCAAATTGGCCAAAATGGTAACCTTTAAACCGCCATAAATTTACAAAAAAAAGATCACAGGTAAAATATCTTTTCAAATTTAAGCTCAGGACACCAATATCTTTCAAGTGATCTTAAAAAATCTCGTCAAAAAAAGCTAGTTAAAAAGTCGAAATTGTCTGAAGAAAAAAACCCACCCCGAGCACAAATATTCCGTTACTTTCGTATCGAAAGTCGGAGCAATCATAAAAATAATCCTAATAATAATAATCATAATAAAAATAATCATAATAATAGTAATAAACATGATAATACTCATATTAATAATGATAATAATAACAATAATCATAATGATAATAACCAGAATAATAATCATAATAAATTGTTTCCGAGTGAAGTCATTACAGGAACAGAATTACACTGAAGAATTCTTTCACAAAAAAATTCACATGAGAGAGCGCCATAAGACTAGATTAAGACTGTATTCAGGCGTCTCAAAGCGAGAATCATAAGCAATTTTACCCTTGTAGTTAGGGGGAAATAGTAAAAGCTTAACATTAAGATTAAAGAAGATGTCAAACTGTTCATTAAAGATAGATGAATGAACAAAAACTGAATAAATGTTCCGTTGTTTCTTCTTTTATGTGGTCAAATTGTTCGATCAATACCGGGTATGTTTTGACTCCATGCTCTTGAGTTAAAATTAGTTCTCAGACGCGGGTTTTAAGTAAAAAAAAACAGCACCTTCTCGACTTTCAAATTCGAAGCATAAATCCAGCGCATCGACCCGGACGCCCTTTGAATATTTTGGAAGCTGAGTCTCGAGGCTTGAATCTAATTGGTTGATTTTAATTACTGTGAGAAGAAGTCTTCAAAATTAATTTCAAGTAGAGGGCTCATTTAAGATCTAAATGGTTTTGGGCCAAAATTAAGAAAAGACCATATTTTATTTTAATCGAGAGGAAGAATCAAACAGTTTGCCATTACGAGGCCAAACATTGCATTCTCTGCATTAGCTAGCCATTGTTCAAGCTGGTTATTGCTGGATATCTCACTTACAATCTGCGGAATCCGCTAAAAGTTTGTGGAATCAATAAAAAAAAACAGTCGCGCTCTAATACAAATTTATTTTACGTGGGATCATATAAAACAGCTACTCGGGCCCCTTCACCTTTTCCAGAGGTGAGAATTATTCATCATTGAGGGTATCATCTGGGAGCCACCCAGACTCATTGTCGCCCGAAATTGGTACAAGTATGAAACTAAGGTTCACGAAAGTGTTGCCGGACATCAAGCCGATGGGACTTCAAGCCGAAACGTAAAGTATGGGACTTCAAGCCGGATAATTCAAAAACCGGCTGATATTATTAACAGATGCCAATGAAAAAATAGTGATTTGAGGTGCTTTTAAAGTTTCAATTTCGGCTTGAAGTCCATTCGGCTTGAAGTCACGTCGGCTTGTTGTCCTAGAGCCCACAAAAGAACCCCAAGAAAGGCTCACGACGGGATATGTAGGGAATACCACTAGCGTGGGTTACTTGAACGTCGTTTTATCACTGAACTCGTCGAAATTGATCTTTTGTTTGGTTTTGCTGTTGTGAGCTGAGTACTATGTGGGCTGAGTTTGTTCAGCTACACGAAGGGGGTACTTGAGGTTCAGTATTTAGAATCTGCGGTGATTTTTCAGCTCTATGTTTCCTTAGAGCCATGATTGCAGAAACCTTACTTTCACCGCTAGTTTGACATTGCTCCATCAAAAGTGGTCGCTTGTCATTGACTTAAATATCTGAAAAATTTCTCCCAGGAAGTAGCTGGTAAGATGTCGGATCAATAACTGAATCAGAGTAAAGAGAGTCAACTAGGTATTCTAGCTTCAAAAACTTGAACTCACCATCCGCAAATTTACGGCAGTGGATGGCAGCAGGTCACAGTTTTTTTGCCAGCTCTGTCGTTTGGTTACTGCCCAGTATCACTAGATTCCAAATCAGTGGTTGACTCGTTTTTGACTACTCGGTTTTGCAACCATTCCTCTACAGTCATCGTTCCTTTGACCAAATCTTTGTCATCTTTCAGCAGAAGAAAGCAGTTAGGTGTCTTGGAATGTCCCCGAAGAATGGTTTGAGCCTTGTCTTTGGTTAGGAGAGTACTTCCTAAATCATGGATCCATTTTCTACCATAGCTTGTGGTGCTAGATTCGGTTTTGCTTTCTTTCCCGCAACTGCCGCCGCTGTACATCCGAAAGGACCCAACACATATAATAGTAAAACAGAAGGCAGCAGACTAGATGGATGCTTTTCACCGACGGCAACTTTCGGATATTCTAGATTTTATTGACATATATTTAAATACGAGGGGATAGGAGTCCCGCATTGTTTAGAAATCTACGTGTGCACTTGCCAGATTTGATGAAAGTGCAGAATGAAAAAAAATTATTTCGAGGATTGATGAGTCTTGGTTATTCAATCTTCCTCCGCCTCGCATTGTCCTACTTTGAAAAACCTTGTTCGCATGGTGGTTGGATTTTTCTAGAGCTTCGCACAGATATTCTCAGGGACTTTGTATAAAGTTTCTCACCACAAGCTGTGGCATTAGGAGTAATTTTAGTTTGTAGAGAGTCAATCCTTGTTCTCCAAAAATAAGCACTGAAACTTGATAGTAAATTTCATACCACTTTTTGTACCCCATAGCGTTAAAATCACCTCTTGCTCTTAGTAATTGCGAGCAATCATTCAAACTCTTTCTCAAAAGTTCACTGGCATCTTTGATGCACTCGAGGGATATTTCAGGAATTTTTGAGACGAGACTCGGGTAGATGGCT